GTACAATATCTTCGGGTTTTAATGAGAAAATCAACAAATTTTTAATGTGTCGTAGTTTCTGACATTTTCAAAATACTTGGAAACCAACAAGCGTAGAATCATTTTTTTTTTTTTTTTGAACTCTAACAGCGGATTGCGTTTTATATTAATTTATAGGTGGGTTCTATCACGGCAAACTTATCTTCCCGCCTGACTTCCCATTCAAGCCACCATCAATATTTATGCTAACGCCTTCTGGACGTTTCCAAACAAATACAAGACTGTGTCTTTCGATCTCTGATTTCCATCCAGATACTTGGAATCCTGCTTGGACGGTTCGTTTTTAAAGCATATTTTGCCGGAATTTTCCCTCTAAAATTTATTAGTATACTATTTTGTTAGAAGATCTTTCTGTCCAAAGAAATATTTCAGGTTTCAACTATCATAACGGGTTTACTTTCTTTTATGAATGATACAGCTCCAACTCTAGGGAGTATAACCTCAAGCGATGCAGAGAAGCGTATTCTTGCTAGGAAGTCTAGAGAATTCAACCTAAAGGTTAGCTTTCATTTTCATTATTTATTATTAGCTTTAATATTTATATTTTTCTTTTAAATTATTGTTTCCTTTTTTAAAGTGTTATACAGTGTTATTATTGCAGGATCGAATTTTCTGCGAACTATTTGGTGATTTGGCTAAGCAAATACGAGAAGAATTAGCCGAAGAACGAAATAAACTGTTATCGGAAGAGAACGTAATAGATGAAACTGCATCACAGAGAAGGTCTTTATCCTGATCATAACTGAGAGATGTACGTATGATGCATAATGAAAAATTTCAGAAGATAAAATGTGTTTTCCTGAGTTTCAGATATTTTTTTTTTAAGAATCTACAGAAACCTGTTTTTGTCATTTATTGATTATTATAAATGGCAGTTTTTTAAGGTCTGGTGAAGAGGGCGAGTACGCTACCTTGACGTATAATCTTGTGGTGCTTGCAGGCGTGGTGTTAATTGCGTTTGCAGTTAGATTTGTCATATTATCTGCTCAAGAGGAGAACTGATTTCGTATTTCTTATTGGAACCTGATATCATTTAATACGTAAATTTTTTATTGTAATTTCTCGTCAGTTTAGACATAAAAACTTATGGCTATTAACATTTGGTATATCTTGAACTTTATGAAAAGTGGGAGGCAAGCACAGAAAAAGCTAAATTTTTTTTCCATTTTATTCTCCTGTTTTTCTTTTTATAATGGAATAATTTTTCATGAAATTGTTGTTTAGTTTCTGGTTTTTGCAAGTTCTTTTGATAATTTTTATTTTGGATGGACGAGTATTCGCATTTTTGACATTGATCCCTTTTCTCATCCAGATCCACTTCTAACTATTCTAGTAATTTTGTCATAATTTTCTTGAAAGTTTTTTCTGGATGCTTTGGTTTTCATTATTCTTCAAGTTCCTTATCCCCTTGAAAAGAGTCCATTACTTTACTGTTATCGGTCATTGTTCATCGACTCACGCTAATGAAATCAGTTGACTGACTGATTGATTTATTGATTGTTCATTTGTACATTATCATTTATGATTTAAATAAAAAGTTCACATCAAATTTCGGCTAGTTTTTTAAAGGCTTTTATATCACAAATGTATTTATATTCTTAGATTTTGTAAATATTAGCCACCCAGATCTTTGTGAATATTCTGCCATCTTGGTTATTTTATAGTGATTATAGTAAACATCAAGTTTCGATTTCAATGATGGTCTTTCATTCGTTCGGTGATGGCATTTATCCGCATGTATCTCTTCATGTTACGATTGCTTATATTAATTAAATACTGCTTTGCTTTCTTTATAGGTAGGAATTACACGTTTCGAATGTTATAGACATAAGCGCAGCGAAAAGCTGTACGGAAGCTTAGTTTAGTGGATACAGTGGAAAATTCAAGTGAGTAAGTTCTCAAATTGCTTGAGTTACTTGAATATGATTGACTGACAAGGATCCGTAGTTTCACCAATAAATATCTGAGTCTTCGAGTACTGATTTTGGTATAGAGCATTTTGTGATTTATTTATTGTGGTTTATATATCATTGGAATACTATGGGACAAGACCTGGTAACTTATTCTCATCGGAAAAAATGATTCTCTTATTTATGTCTGTGGTGAGGATTGAATTGATTATCACAGATTTCGGAAAGCACTGTTTTGGAATTGTATTAATAAACATTCTGGATATTCATTCTATCGGAATGGTGGTATGTGGAAATAAGGATGGCCAGCCGATCTTTCATGCCTGCACGAATATTAATACTTTTTTGCGGTTGCTTAATTTGCATCATTTGTACTATCACGCTTTCGTTAACGTGCATTTGTGGAGGGCAATTTACATCCGGCAGACCGCGCAATCTTGCTTCATCGGATATGCATAAGCAGCAAGGTGAGTTCCTGTCTTTATGTCAAAGCGTAATTGTTAAATGTTTTTCATTTTTTTAGCAATAAAAGAAAAGGGAAGGCTTTCTTACTGTACTTTCAATTTCTGTTGTAGAGAGCAACATTTATGCAATATACATTTACTCAATTAATGATTTTAAGGTGTAGAAGGCGTTTCAGATTTGCCTTCGACATATTTGGCGATTGTGATCATGTCATCTGCAGGTGATGCCGTTTTGCGTACTGTTATTCGTAATACTTGGCTGAAATTATCTTCAAAAGGTGGTTTAAAAATAATTCAATGCAGAATTTCTTTAGTCTCGTAAGTAATATGAAAAATCAGAAGTTAATATCAAGAATCAATATTTTACTTTACATTTTTCAGGTAAAACAACTTTTCGTTATGCTTTCCCGATTGGGACTGAAAATCTCAGTTTGATTTTCAAGGAACGTCTCAAGGAAGAAAATAATTTGTTTAATGATCTGATTTTTCTAGAGGATCTTACGGATACTTACCAGAATTTGACGAAAAAGTCTTTACTCTCTATGCAAGCTATACATAATATGTACAAATTCGAATTTTTATTAAAGGTTATCTTTTTTTTAATTGTTCGAGTTCATGTCGGTCTTACTATGAACTGAGGTGTCAATAAACATTTGGTGTCAATAATTGATTTAACTTATTGTGTTAATGTAATATTAAAAAATACATTTCTAGCAACCGATCTTAATTATTCTTTAATGTTTGGTTTGTAATTCTTAATTTACGTTCTTTATACGCCAATTTTATGATCCTTAATTTTTCTTTGTTTTTAATTTCTTTTTAACATCGAACTGGCTAAAGTTTATGTCTTCTTAAAGGTGGATTCTGATTCGTTTGTACGCTTGGGAGCATTTTTGAAAGCATTAAAGGATATTGCTGATCCTAATTTATACTGGGGTTTCTTGGATGGAAGAGCAAGGCCAAAACGAAGGGGACAGTGGGCTGAAAGAGATTGGATTTTATGTGATCGTTATGTCCCTTATCAGGTATTTTATTATTTAAAGGGAAATCACTATACTATAATTGTTTGCAAATTTCTAATTCTTGGAAAATGCATTTTAAGGAAAATACACTTGGAAAAAAATACATCTTATAAAATTTCTTATAGCTTGGAGGAGGTTATGTATTATCTTACAAGTTGGTCGACTTCCTCGTGCGGAACAAAGATTTATTGAAATTTTACAAGTAAATTTTTGTCTGAAATAATAAAACTCTACTGAATTTTAGTTTTTGAGGTGAAAATTTCTATAAGAATTTAGTAAAATTTTTAATAAAAAAAATAATCGCATAAGTGTAGGAGTATACTGAAAAGTGGATGTGAAAAATAAGTATTTGAAATATCAGTGTTCAGGAATGAAGATGTGTCAGTAGGCGCTTGGCTGGCGGGCCTTTCTGTTCGCTATGTTCATGATCCTCGTTTCGATACTGAATTTCGTTCCAGAGGATGCAATAATCAATACATTGTTACTCATAAGCAAACACCGGAATCTTTAAACGTTGCTCTTTTGAATTTATATGTCGAATAAAGCGGATTTCTCCAAAATTTATTTCAGATTTTATGATAAAGCTAAAATGTTTTGAACTCATTGCCCAAAAATTTGCTAAAGAAACGCAAAATTATCTTGCTCAGTAAAGGAAATGTAAATCATTTATTGGGTGTTTTTGTATTTGAAATTGATTTAATCGAACTTATTCATTTTCAGAAATTATATGCCTCAATTGTAAATACTGGTAAGCTTTGTGAAAAGGAGTATCGCATTCATCCATCTTATGTATATGATTGGTCAGTTCCACCAAGTATGTGCTGCAGTCGGCAAAATGACTCTGATATACCATAATTTGTCACTATAGTTTTAAATTGACTTTTACCGTATCTTTGAAAAGATTAATGGTAAAACGTAAGCTTTTTGTCAATTCATTTTATTTAAAATATAATTTACAGCTGTTGGATTCTATTGCTTCATTATCTCATTTGCATAATTTCATTGCAGTTTAGGTCTTGAATAAATGTTTCAAAGCTCTCTGATTAACTTCCACTGCTTTGTCCCCCATTGTACGGTATTTCCCAAATGTCCTTTTCTATTTTCACATTATTTTGTCTTTATTAAATAAGAAATAAAATGTAATAAATTATGGCTTTTTTGTAGATGGATTTTTATTGGAGAAGTTTATGCTTATATACTTTCAGTGGGGAAAAGCCATTTTTTTTCAGCTTCAGGGGTTGCGTTTTCCATTTTGGCGTTGGGAATGAGAAAGGGAGAATGGAACAAAGTAGAACTTGCATGTCAGTTGTTTGTTTTTTCTAGTTTTAGTCTTGAAATGTTTGGCAAAAAAATTATTATGGATTCCGGTCGATTATCAGTGACACAATCTTCTGGAATTTATCCTGCCGCTCAAACACTCTTAACAAATGTTAATTGTGCCTCTACAGATTTTTTAGAACTATGTGGGATTTTTTGATTCTTGATTTCATATTATTTAATGTTTTCAGACTTCAGAGAGTTTGGGAATTTTTTTGTAGGGAGTATTGTTTGAGAAAGTTCGATAAATGCATTCAATACAGAATGCTCAAATAGAAGGCTCAAGTTTTGTTTATAATGGTACCAGCCAAACCGAACTTGTTCTCTGGCAGCTGATTGGACCATTTTCAATACTGCTTCGAAATATCGCTGTGCCATGGATATTTGTTGGTTTTCGTTTCGCTTTATCGAGTGGTTTCTGGTAAATTTTTTAAAAAAAAAAAACTTATCTTCATGGTGTAGGTGGCAAACCCTACCAAAATGAATTTTAGTATTTGTTCAGAGTTCAAATCAGTACACGGAAGCCGAGAATGGCAGGTTTTAAAATTACTGTTTCACATTGCCGTCGTTTTAGTTTTGTTTTAATAGTGGTCTTTCAGCAAAGTAATAGTGTGTATTTATTAAAAGGTGTCAGTATAATAGTTTACTTGAAACATAGGACAGTGAGTTAGCTACATTAGTAATTAGTCGGTTTTGTGAGTCTTGTCATTAAAGAAGTGAATTTCAGGTTAAAATTCGCACTTGATTTCTTGTTCATAGTACTGCCAGTTATTCTGTCATTGACTCTGTTCTCAGATCATCTCCTTCTGATACTTCTGTTCCAATTAGTTGCTTTGCTTTCTCTAATAACTTTTTCACTTTGTGAATACTGCTTTATTGCACGCGAAAAACCTACACTGCGCCAGATTTTCGGTCAAATGGTTGATGATCATCATTCACCTACCAAATTCATCACTTACATGAGGTTACTTTTTTTTATTTATATTGAAAGTAGTATTTCCGGAAACGTTCTTTTGATAAAATTTTGAAGCAGTAGTAATAGGAAGTTATATAACCCCTTTCCTCGTTTTATCCTTCAAATTTATTTGAATTTGTTCAAATAAACGTACTATATTATAAAATTGTGGATTCGGTTAGTTCGAAGCATTAAAAAATTAGACATTTAAATAACAAAATCGATATAGGTTGTATTTGTCAACTTTTATGACAGTAATTTTCGTGAGGCCGTCTCAGCATATCATCTTTAAAAAAGATAAATTTTAGCTACTGATATCAAGTACGTTTCTATAATCGTGAGAAATATGACTATCGAATTTTATCACGCTTTTTTTCTATTTCAGATCTATGAGCCTCATTGCAACTGCCATTGCAATTCTCTCCGTTGATTTTGATATTTTCCCACGTCGTTTTGCCAAGACACACACATATGGCCGAAGTGTTATGGATGTTGGCACTGCAACATCCGTTTATTGTTTCGCCGTTGTTGATGTTTTCAAAGATTTTCCAAGCAGAAGTAAATTTCCATCACTACAAAGAAGGTTTTTCTTTTTCTTTTAAAATCGAATCGAAAGATTGAGGAAGATAATATCAAGCCGTTTGAATGATTCAAATATAAAAAATATGAGTAACTTGGTAATTTAATAATATTAAATATTTGGTTTTTAACTATTTTACATTTAAATTTTATAGCAGACATTTTTTCCGGAAGCACTTGCCAAGCATCATTTTGCTGTGCTTAGGTTTCGGAAGGACATGTATCTTACATCTATTAAGCTATCCAACACAAATTGCTGAATATGGGGTGCACTGGAATTTCTTCATAACACTTGCTTTTCTCAGGGTTTGTGTTGTGAACTTTGAATCATTTTAGTCTTAAAGATTAGCACTTCCACATATTAATATATGATATTAATAAATAATAAATTGTATGATGGATTTCTGTTTACTTTAAATTTGCTTATTTTCTAACATCAGGAATGAATAAATGTTAACATTCGTATTGAGAGAAGACAGTTGAATTTCATCATTTTTTATGGAGGTTGTCTCTGTTCGTTTTTTCTTGAATAAGAAGTGTCGGTGTAAACTTCCTGCTAATTGTGCCGTGTTTTTCAGATTACTGTGAGACTTCTTGGTCGACGTTTTCATCTACTTTTCGGCATTATCGTCATTTTTGTTTATCAATATTTCTTGACTGAAAGAAATTTACAGGTTTTAATTTCATTTGGTTGAGCACTTTTTTTTTTGTTGAAAACTTCATGTAATAAATTCGTTGCTATATCACTCAGTTCAGAATTGGCTACTTTCGGAGAGCGTTAATAGAGATACCTTTATTGCAATGAATCGTGAAGGTATTTTTTCCTTATTTGGATATTTATCAATATATTATTTCGCATCCGCTATCGCCAGCTTCATGTATTTCACGGGGTTAGTTATTGTTTCAGTGGAGTTTTTTATTTTATTTTTACTTTCGCCAGTAGCTACTGTTTAATGATAATAGCATAGTTCTAGGTGCAAACCCATATACTTTTCAATCTGTTTTCCTGCTGTTCTATGATGAAAGTTAATAATGGGAGGGTATTACAATAGAAAAGAAAATGTAACCATTCCTAGAAAAAGTAGTCATTAAATGAGCTGGATGAAGTCGTTTTTACACACTCATTGTGAACAGTCATCATTAGGTAATAGTTGTCAAGCAGCAAACACGATATTTATGAATAGGATACACGTAGTTTTGCGGTATTGCATCGATTCCAACCTGGATGAAATATATCAGAGAGTTATGATTTCACCACCGGAATTACAGAATAAGGCTCAAATCCTGGTTCTACAGAACATTCCAATTATTTATAATCGCTGCACTTCTTTTTTTTGCTCAAAAATTGGCTGAAATGCTTTTGGGACCACCTTCACGGAGAATTGCCAACTTGCCTTATATTTTAGAAATGGTAAGCTACATCACACATTTGTATGAGGTGTTTCTTTTCTAATTTCATTATCATGGAAATGTCCGTTGCTTCATTCTAATTCTGATATGTCTGATATGTTGTATTCAGCTAGTCTTCCATACTGTTTACATGGCTAGTTTGTTGCTGATACAACTAACTTCCATATTTGGATGGGCAGCACAAATGCCGCAATTCTCTATTGGTTAGTTCTTTGGACTGCTTTCGATTTTCGTAAATTGTTATTTTGATTTGATTTAATATTTTTATTCTTTTGTAGTAGACAGTAGGTCCTTTAGGACCATCTTTGATTGATCAAATGAAAATATTTAGACTGCTAGGAATCAAAGTACCACTCACCATTTGTTCACCATTAACATTTATTTTGAAGAAATATTGGATTGTATGTCATACTGCATCAACTTCTTTAGCTTTGTTTTTATAGATGAAAGTCCCTTCGAGCGTTTAAAGCCATGTGTGCTCGATTCAGTGAACCGATATGCCATGCCATTTTTTTTATTAGCGAACTTGCTCACGGGTCTTATTAATTTAACAATAACGACAAGCTCTGTAACAAGTGTCTATCATTCGATGACTATCATTATTGTATACATGTTCATTTCATGTTTAGTCATCCATGTCTGTACAAGGTTAAAGCAAACCTCTTGAATTTTGTATATACATTTCTTAAATTATTCATTTTCTGCAACTTATTTTATTTTCCAGTGGTGGCAATAGATAATATAATTTGTTTAAGGACATTATTATTTTCATCACTAACCTTTTTTTGTGCTTTTTTTTAAAAAAAAAAACATTTCATCCTCTGTATCATTCGGTATTGGCACTATATGTATATTTTCTATATTGCTCCTGCGTGTTTTAGTATTTTTGTTTTTTGAAAAAATTCTAGATGAAATTATACATGAGTTTATCAGAACCCGACGAAATTCGTACTAATTATTAAATGCTATCTTACATTCCGTTTTGTTGGTTTTTATTTTGGTTATAAAAAAACTTGTAAGAAACTATAAGTTTCCAATGATTTAGTCATTGCATATTGTATTTTTGAATCTAGTTAATATAAATAGAAATAATTGTAGGTTCGTATCAACCGAAGAACATTCTTTAACTTTTAGAACCCAGTAACAAATTTCATGTAGTAGCTTTGCTTTTGCTAATTATGGTTACTTTCGAGTTATAAAGTATTTGTAAAACATGTTCAAGAGATTCCACACGTAAATAGTGGCTCTAAAACTTTCTATTTTAATCTCAAGTGTTTCGAAATGAATACTTATATCTTGTTTCTTGTAGTGTATCACCGATGTTATCCAAATGAGCTCAAAACGTACCATTAGATTTGTTTGATAATGAAAAGGAGTATGATGTTGGTGAAATTGACCTTGTAGTGAACCATAATAAGTCATTATTTATCATAATGCATTCAATAGGTATATCTGAATGTTATGGCATACTGTTTTAAGTTATATGGTGTGTTCAGGTCATTTCATCAAGGATCAAATATTATAAACATAAGAAGGGAATACAATGTCACACCAACATTTATTCTCTTTTGTTTATTCAATATTTTATATGTGCTGTTATTAAATATTAGTTATTAAGTATCCAATAAAGTGATTATTTCTTAATCTTGCTTCATTGGACTTTCCTTAAACATTATACTTAACTTCTTTGTCTTATTTAATCATCTTCCCCGTTCTTTACCTTCTAAATCGATAACAAAAATGTTAAAGCGACAAAACACACGATGAAATTGGGGATAAACACCTGGATAGATTTCATTTCCTGTTGTGCTATCACTGATTTAAAATGGTATAAAGTAGTATGTCTACTCAAGAGCTTTCCATAAGATAATTTTCCACTCCTAAATTAATACAATTAAATGATGGCACTCATCTCTCAGTCTGAAAAAAAACGATGATATTATTAGCTGCGATAGCATAAAAAATGGAAAACATACGTGAACGGGGTAATTTGACATCATTTTTTAAAAAATTAGGAAAATGGAAGTCATCTTAATACATTTGCGCTACTGGAGATTTCAATACGAGAGGTGTTCTCGAAGGAGGGAACAGATTGACTTTACCTCTGTTTAATTATGCAAATGAGATGAATGGATCTGTTTCAACTGTGTCATCTCAGTTTATCATTGTCCTTGGAAGCATTTTCTGTATTGGTTGCTTCAAATTGCGATAAGAAATGCGGAATGGTACCACACAAGCTGAGCTTCTGCTCTTTCAGACAGTTGGACCAATGTCGATAATACTGCGAAATATAGCAGTACCAGGAGTGCTTTGTATTCTTCCATGTACCCTCCAAATTGGGAGTTGGTTAGTGCTGCTGTTTTTTAACTCTTGATTTACTTTCAGAGTTAAACATTCATTAATTAACTAGAAAAGTAAGGATTCCAAAACTATTTTGGTAAGATGTTTTGAATCAAGACAATTTTAATACTAATTTTTTTTATCAGCGAAACACAGCATTAGCATTAGGGCCTTTGTGGTGAACTTTGTTGCTCTGAGCTTGAGTACCTGTTTTGGAAACCTTTTTGAGAGAAAAGAAAAATCGAGAAAAAGTCTCAGGAGGTAATTTCAGGTTAACTTTTGTGCTCGATTTGTTACTTATCGTGCTTCCAGTGGTACTGACGCTGACCTTATTTTCGGACCATATACTATTACTACTATTAGCACAAACTATAATACTTTTGACCTTTGTTGTCGTTCTAATATGCGACCAGTATTTTATGAAACGAAGAAAACGAACGTACTGCGATTTGTTTCATCAAATCAATGATGACCAATATTCACCTACTAAATTTGTCACTTATATGAGGTTGTTAATATAGAAATTCAATCTAACCAACTGCTTTAACATGAGCTTGTAATATATGACTTTTAAGTAGAACTTTGTGTGGAATGTCTCTAAAATGAAATATGCTTTTATCCTCAATACTACTGCAGATTATATGGCTTTCTTGCTACAGCTGGCGCCATATTATCCGTAGATTTTGATGTATTTCCACGTCGTTTTGCGAAGACGTCAATTTTTGGCCGAAGTGTTATGGATCTCGGTACAGCTACATTTGTTTATTGTTTTGCTGTGGTTGATGTGTTCCGACATTATCCTGGAAGAGTAAAACACGTCACTCAAAAGCAGTGGTTCTCGTTCTTATATTCATAATTTTAAATGTATTATGCGGTGATACTGATATCTGAGCGTTCACACTAGCGTAGCAGCTGATGCTTAGAATGGGATATATTACTGGCGGAAAGTATTTTTTTAAGTAAGACAAGGACTGAAAATATTGTCACGGACAACTTTTTTAATAAATAAATTAAATGTGATTGGATAACTTAATTAGCTTAATGAGCTTATTTCGGCATTTTCATGCTCTATGTTATCATAATGAAAATATATTACTTCCATAAATGAGATTCATTGAATGATTAAGTAATCGTCGTAAAAAAATCTTAGTTAATCAAAAGATATGTCATGATATAATCGCGTACAGGAAATCAGATGAAAGATCGAACATGGTCAGTAAGCATAAATTAACGAGAAAAACAGAGATTTGGGATAATCTCTAAGTAATTCATTTCAGGTACTGCTCCTTGAAACCGTCTTCAAGTGCTGTGTTAATAATGCTTGGTATAGCACGAACATTTTTGCTTCATTTCACCAACTATCAGTATCAGATCAGTGAATATGGTATATACTGGAATTTCTTTATTACCCTCGGATTGTTGCGGGTTTGTTTAACTTGTTTTATGGATAGAATATCTTTCTCCCATCATCTGGAGTTATTACTGCCAGTCACTTTGATTTCCTGAATTGAAACGTGATGTAACAAAAGTAAATTTACAAAATTTTAGTTCTTAGTGGATTTTTTGGGTCGACGTCATCATTTATTGTTGGGAATAATCATTGCTTTTACATACCAATATTTTCTAACGAAACAAAATTTACAGGTGCTTTTTTACGTTTACGTGAAACAGCTTCCAATAGTAAAATAGTAAAATTGGATTTAAGTATTCCTAATATTTCTATACGATTATTTTTTTACTTAAGGGATCATTCATCATTGACAAAAGCTCAATATCAAAGCTTTCATAGAGAAGGGAAAAGAAATATAATTTTTAATCTATAATCTATAATAAAATCAAAAAGTTTGTTAATGAGGATTTGTAAAGAGGAAAAAATATTACTGTTTTAACAATTAGTGAGCAATATGCCGCTGACTTGACATTTTTTATTATCAGCAATATTTGATTTCGAATGAGACAAAAAGGAAAGATTTTGTATCCAAAAATCGCGAAGGGATTTTTTCATTTTTTGGGTATCTGTCAATCTATTATTTGGCATCGGCTATAGCCAATTTTTTATTTGCTGCGGTATCACACCAAGAATATTGCGATCCTAACATGAATTGTAGTATAACCGAAAAAAGGTCCTTTATGCCTTTTCATTGCATTTCTGCCTTTTATAACCCTCCTGTTCAAAATGCATAGGGAAATAATTTCAAAAGAAAGTGCAGTGATCACAAGCGACTAAAATTTCTTTTCAACATTATTTTCAAAAGAAATAAAGGGAAAAAAAGAACATTTCACAGATTAGTTGGAGAATGTAGACGTTCACTATCTTTTTTAGGAAACGAATCAAAGTATGGTTCTACCGTTCTTTCCAGCTATTATTACTCACTGTAGTAATTTTCTTAGCACAGGAATTTGCCATAAAACTCGTGGGCCCACCATCGCGAAGAATTGCTAATGTGCCGTACATTCTAGAAATGATGAGTGCTTTGTTTATTACTTTTTTTTATTACTTTCAGTGCAATATTCGATAATAACTGGTTAGGATAAAGCATTAAAAAGGCGAATTATTGAATGATTCAGGCCATCCGTAAAGATAATAAGTGGAAACTTGCTGACATAAGTGCACTTTGTTCATATCAGGGCACTTATGAATCAGACATTTCAGGTAGTTTTTCACAACATTTATTTGTGCGGTTATTTATTCGTTCAGTTGCTCCAGGGCCAGGCTTCACAAATTTCGGGATTCCGCAGCAGTAAGTTTACTATCAGGGCAGATTTTCATTTGTCACTTATTTTCGAATGATTCCAGAAAGAGCACCAGTAGTTTCTCAAATCAGAATAAGAAACTGACATTCCAACATTTCCATGATTTCTAGGTTTAAACAAAAAGGCAAATACGACGGAAAATGATAAGACGGAAATGCATTCTGAAACGAAAATTGTGCTGGATGGTGGTAAGCTTTGGAATTTAATTCAAAGCATTAGCATATAACGATTTTTTATGTCGCTTAACAAAACTAGTCTCGAGCACCGCTAATACGAATGTTTATATTCTGCAAAGCAGTGATACAAGTAAAATTAACATCGTAAAATTTCCTCGTCTTATGCGATTTCAACGCTATTCCAGATGAAAATCTACTGGAAGTACTGAAACCATTTCTAGTGGATTCAATTAATGAACAAGGATTGCTGTTCTTCTTGTTGGCAAATATTCTAACGGGTTTAGTGAATAAAAGCATAAACACTTCATCGGTAAAGAATCACTATCATGCAACCGCTATAATCACGGTCTACATGTGTTCTTGTGTTACCATTGTTCATCTTTTTACCAGATTACAGAAAGAAGTTAATTACAGAAAGAAGTTAATGTGTGGCACCATATTCTTTCGCAATAAGAATTCTCTTCCCTGTCCTACCATCTCTTTACCTTAATTATTTTCAGTATAGATTGTATTGCAGTCGTAAATGAATTCAAAATTGGGCTGTAAAATTCGAAGCTCGATGAGCTTACGTCCGCTACTGAAACTAATTTGTAACTGATTTTTTTGTGAAAACACATGAAATCGTTCATGAACTCATGATAACATCAGTATATATACACTGCATAGTTAAGCATATTTCAATTTATTTAGCAACTAACTGTTTTCAAGTGTTGCCCACTTTTATGAGCATGCTACAAAATTCTTGAATGTTTTCATTTGAGAGGTCACAGTCAAATTCATCCATACGGGATTATATACATTTTTCAAAAACTGCTTTGCGAGGTTAGTCAAGAAATCATCACAATCTAGGGTTTATTTCTAAACAAATTTTTCTCAGTTGTGAGTCAAATAACGTGGTGTGGCACTAAATTTGGCATAACCCTTAATCACTTTGTTGACGGCCTCCAAGAAATCCTTCTCCGTTGCAAGCTTTCTTCGAGCACGTATTGCAAACATACCGGCTTCCGTGCAAACGCTCCTAATTTCAGCACCTGCAGAAAGTATTTTTGACATCGATTCTAGTTTGTTAAGTTTAATATATTCCATAAAAGCTATGGTTCTATTCTTTGTCAAAGGTAAAGAAATAGGTTCATATTTGCTTTCACCTTATTACAACATGAACCTGCGCGAAAAGTTTGTAGGCTATCAGGTTCAAAAAACATAGCAAAATGTGATAAAGCCTACATAGCTTGTGTGTCGCATTATACGCTGATATACCTCTCCACTATCAAAACACCACTTAAATTTATCAATTCCTTCTGTACATTTTAATGAGTATTTCGTTTTCCCAAACACACAAGCTGATAAGCTTGTAGCAAAACCTTATCTGGAACCTTCAAATCCAACAGCTGCGTAAAATAAATTACGCTAAAGAAACAATGAAAAATATTGTCAAGGCTCGCGATTTCTACCAGCGTTACTAACACGAAAAACTCACCAGTACTATTAGGGCAAAGACGTGCTAATAAATCGTATCGAATATCTCTTTCGACACTCATCTGTTTCGCATGAATTTTAAGGATGTGAGTACGACCTGCTAGATCTGGTAAAGCGAATTCTATTTTGCGATCCAAACGGCCAGGTCGAACCAATGCTGGATCAAGCGTATCAGGTCGATTAGTTGCCATAAGTACCTACAAGGAAAAGCCTCCTTTAATTATGAGAAAATGAGATGCAATACTTAAAATAAGAGATTTCAACAATAAAAGATATATGGATACTTTAATATTTCCGCGTGGATCAAAGCCATCCAGCTGATTGATCAGTTCAAGCATGGTGCGTTGCACTTCATTATCGCCACCCATTCCATCGTCAAATCTTGCACCGCCCACGGCATCTATTTCATCGAAAAATATCAGACAGGCCTATAAAAAAAAAAAACCTTTTCTTTGAATTTTTTTTCTTTGAAAAAAAAAAAACCTTTTCTTTGAACTTAGTTAAACTAAGAAAGTGTTAAAAAACAAAGACCATACTTTTTTACTACGAGCCATTTCGAATAGTTCTCGCACCATGCGAGCACCTTCGCCTACATACTTCTGCACCAGCTCAGAACCAATAACTCTGATAAAACAGGCATCTGTACGATTGGCGACAGCACGAGCACAAAGAGTTTTGCCTGTACCAGGAGGTCCATAAAGCAAAACACCTTTCGGTGGTTCGATACCCAAATTGACGAAACGTTCTGGCTAAAATATAACCCAATTTGCTAGAATATTACTTAAAAAGTAGATCAGTTTTCTAAGTTACAAAAGCTAAAATTAGTCTAGAAAACCTACATGCAGCAATGGGGTCTCGACCACTTCTCTTAGTTTTTCTATTTGCTCTTTGCAGCCACCAACATCGGCGTAAGTAACGTCTGGCTTCTCCTCGACCTGCAATCAAATAGAATCTGCGATTAGCAAAGTTTGCGACATAAGAAATCGATTACTATATATTTTATTAAAAATGAAAATGTTACCAGCAACAATATGATGCAAGATGGTATTTCTACAATTCCAAAAAAAAAAAGTTTACCTGCATCATCGTAACCGATGGATCAATTTTCGCGGGTAAAGGCAGGTGAATCTGATATTTATTACGATCCACACCAACTCGCATACCTTCTTCAATATCAGTTGGTGCAACGGTGTCTGCAAGATCCACCACAAACTTTGCAAATTGTTTGACATTTATTAAATAGCGTGGTTCATGTCCTTCTGATGTTATTATTTTTGTACAGCGAGCAACCTGTAAAACAGTTCCTAACTGTTCTTTCCAGGGATGTAATTTTAATATAAAACAAACCCCGCACGATCACTTCCAGTTATATCATTAAGAAATTAACTTTATTTAATGTCTGACAACTAGTAATTTTAATCTGTTGCTTTTTAATTTTAATTTATTATTTGATTCCAGCTGAAACGTACCTGAAAAAAATATTGTAAGAAATTGTAATCGAAATAACAAACAGACCTGAAGGGGTTGTTCACTCTGCATTGCTTGCTTATCAGCAGCTATGTCCCATAAAGCTGGTGGTGCAAGTCCGGTATCGCTCTCCTTCACTCCAGATAACTCATTCACCTATATTGGAGAATAGAAAATGCAAAAATACAAAATTTGTGTAGTAAGATTTGATTACGAAAAAAGTTTGAAATTATTTCCAAAATTTCAATAACTTAAAAAGCTGCACATCTCCATGGCAAAACAAAGTTATAGAGAATAAGAACAAAATTCATAATTATCAAGAAAATGAATAATGAAAAAGGTGAATGAGCAACTATTCCTATATTAAACTTACCTTTTTAACACATTCTTCGATATCGGATTCTAGCTGCTTTAATTGTTCCGTATAAGCACCCTGTCCGTAGCGCTTCAATACCACAATATCGTTTTCATCCAGGGCTGGAGAACAGTTATTCCTCAGTATTTTGAATTAATAAATCGTTAAAACTGCTAGCATTCTTGATGACCGAAGAATTGTTATACTAGCTTTATTTCTTCGGGAATGCTTTATTTTCGAAAAAAAAAAAAAACATTAAGAAAAATCAGCTTTTCAATATCACACATTTAATAATACTGAAAAACATACACTGAAAGGGTTTGTCGTTATCTGTCACAACTTCTTTCTTATTCTTGCGCATATCATCACCAAGGTAATCTGGCATCTCGTATAACTACGTCTGAAACTGACTCAAAATAAGGAAAAGAACATCATCAGCCATTAACTTGCTGCGAAAAAAACACAATAAACACTCTCCACCTCCCCAAATCACACGACCATTGCAACTTCCCTTTCTTCTTTTGCTCGCGACGTGAAATACCAATGGCCCTGCGGATTGATTCGAGAGTTGAAAGTATGAGGAAACGTGGATGTAACGCTTGTCTGGTCGTCGCTACTGATTAAGGACGATCATTGATTAGCAATGCACAGTATCACAGGATCCATAGATAAGCGTGACACACTCATCACGTCACACACACGCACCTTAGAGATCAGAGAGGAGACGTAGAGTGATTTAAGTGGATCAGTTTAGTGCTAATGAGAATACAATGCAGGTGGAAGTAATATTGAGAGGATCAGTGATGCCTTTTCTATTCTTTACCTAATTCCCGTTATGACTGAATCCCTGAAGAGTTCTCTTACTCAGTCTTTCTGCAAATATGGCTTGCAGTGTGCAGTATATATGCGTTAGCGTGCACTTTATATGCATGGATTGAATGTTATTGAATGTAATGGAAAGTGAACGAAAATGTGATGTGAATGACATTAAGAAACGTAGCAATGCGAAAGGCATTCAGGCAGGCCTTAGATGATGATGCAAAGCCTTAACTGAATATGTATATATCCTTTTTCTTGCTCAGTATTTGCAGATAAATGAGAAAAGGAATGAGTGCAAAGGAAAAGAGACGGACACTCTTCTCTCCACTTCTTGCTTTCATATAAGTAATGCAGCAGTTTACACGGGCCTCAAAAAGCCTCCATTCTAAAGGAAACATGAACTGAAAATCGATTTGATGAAATAGATGTGGTGGGTACCAACTGAGAATGAGATAAAAGTTGTTGGAGAAGTGTTTGCTTCTCCATCTTCTCCTTTTAGCTAGATGATAAATATTTCGTGCTAAACTGCTCTCTTCACTTTTTCCCATACCTAACGCCCACGGCTGTCTTATCCCGCATAAACAATAATCATTAAAATTTCAAGCATGTTTATTTCCATGCTTTTTCAACATTTTGTACAATAAATTTGAATATCCCTGATTTTCTGGTAACTCTTTATTCCCTCCGCAGTCATTGATTAACTCTTATTACTATCACATTCAGTAATATATTTGAATGTGTCGTTTCTTAAAATCCCTTTTCCCCTTTGTGGTACTTTTTTTTCGAACATTTCAATACAAATCTATCAGCACTGCATTGTGACACAATTCGACATTTCCAGGACATGTCCTGAGAGCGTAGCATTTTGTTGAAAATTAGATTACAATCCTTATAGCCAGGTCGTTTTGTCACTTGATAACTTTTTTTTTTCATTACGGGTCATAGTCGTTTCTAGTGACATCCATCTTATGGACTCATGAAACTTATTTATACGCATTGACCTTTAAAATCATATCAATTATTGATTGCACAAATAAGTGATGAAATAATATGAGAACTGCAAAATAAACAAAGAATAAATGAATTTGATAGGTGGCATGCGACTATACCTAAATAAAATGGAGATATTCAATTTCCCGTACTCCCTGTTTTATTTTTCTTTTGCTGTTTCGGTATTTCCACTTTTTTTAATGACTTGCAGTGTTTGGCATTTTTTGAAATAAGAAAGATGAGCCATAACTTATTAATTGCTATGTTTAGAAAAATAAGTAAGACATTTGATTTCAGCAATGAATGAATGAAGCCTTTGTCATAAGACTTCTTCAAAGATTTTGTGAAGCTGGTAGAGTAAGAGATATGGTCTCGCCTAGCGCCTATACTGCTTTTCCAATTGTCATGCCACTAACTGCA